ACATTTTCTACCAATCAAGGAGACTGACAAGATGGAAAGGCTTACAAGAATGTGCATAAGGGAAATAGTGCAATTGCATGGTGTTCCGATATCCATTATCTCCGATAGAGATAGTAGATTTACATCAAGGTTCTGGCAGTCACTACAAAGTTCCCTGGGGACTAGACTAGACATGAGTACAGCCTACCATCCACAAACAGACGGGCAAAGTGAGAGAACGATACAAACTTTGGAAGATATGCTGAGAGCCTGTGTGATTGACTTTGGAAAGGCATGGGATATCCATTTACCCCTTGTCGAATTTTCATACAACAATAGTTATCATACGAGCATAAAGGCTGCTCCATTTGAAGCCCTCTATGGCCGTAAGTGCAGGTCCCCTCTGTGCTGGACTGAAGTTGGCGACACACAGTTAGCTAAAGGACGAGATACTGAAAACACTCTCACCGGTCCGGAAATCATACAAGAAACGACAGAGAAGATCGTTCAGATTCGTGAACGGTTGAAAGCATCTAGAGACCGACAGAAAAGCTATGCTGACCAATGGAGGAAACCTTTGGAATTCCAAGTAGGCGACTGTGTTCTATTGAATCGGCCTTGTAGCTTACAAACTTAATCTACCACGTGAACTTAGTAACATACATCCAACCTTCCATGTATCGAACTTGAAAAAGTGTCTGTCCGATGAGACTCTTGTTATTCCACTCGACGAGATCGAGATCAACGAGAGCCTCAACTTCATGGAAGAACCGGTAGAAATCATGGACCGAGAGGTCAAACAAACGAAACAAAGTCGCATACCCATCGTGAAAGTCCGTTGGAACGCCAAGTGAGGACCTGAATTCACATGGGAACGCAAAGATCAGATGAAACAAAAGTACCCAAATCTTTTTCTTTGATTCGAATGTATCTTTCTTACTTTAAATTTCGGGACGAAATTCCCTCTAACAGGGGGATGATGTGACAACCCGATATTTCAACTCTATGTAACGACCTAAAAAGTCAAGTATTGTAACCACGTTTGTTATAATGAATTTAACTTCGAAAATAAAATATCCAAAAATACTAATTAAGTTACCTATTATGTTAGATGTCACTAAACTGTGATCGTACGTAAAAAGAACGCCCAAATCTGACTTCGTATAAGGAAGTTATGAATTTTCAAAGTTCGGCTTAGCAACGGACAGCTAAAAACTCGAAACGGAGATCGAACGACTTTTGACCAGAATAACCTAAATGAGAATCGAAGGTCTCGACAATTGTTTTTCAACGGTAAAAAGTCTGGCAAAAACAGATGTCAGATAATGAAGTTATGAATTTCTAACGAAATTTTCTTACCGCGACCTTTTAAAAATAAATAATAAAAATAATTTCAAAATTTGCTGACGGAATCTAAACGAAAGTTGTAGAGTATAGTGTCACTTACGTGTGGATATAAAGAACGTCGAAAACGGAGTCCGTATGAAGAAGATATGAACTTTGAAGTTTATTAAATAATAAAAATATAATTTTTATATTTAATTTCGGTATTTATCCGAAGGCTGAGTCACGGGTCGAGTACGCCCAACGTACTTGAGGCCTAGGCCTCGGATCGTCCACGTCACCCCTATGCGAGGCTATGCCCCATCCCATCCAGATTCCGAAGCAGTCGAGGATGCGGTCACGCATGACGCACGAGTACGCCCAGCGTACCGAGGCGGTTCCCACTCCTTATAAAAGGGATGCGAGGGTTCCAAAGAAAAGGGCCAATTCCTCTCATCTTTCTTGCGTTTTTGCCTCGTTTTCCATGCACGTGCTATCCCGAAGTCCCGGTTACCTTGCTCAAGTCCCGAAGGTCGTTTGTGCTCCCGAGAATCCCGAGAAAATCCGCTTTCTCGAGTCGAAATTCTGCTCGGTTTTCATCTCGCCTTCTTCGATCTTTCAAGTGAGTTCATACCCCTACAATGCACACTTTTAAATGTTTTATAAATACTTTTTATGCTTTTAGGGGGGGGGGGGGGAATACAAGTAAAACACTCGATTATTATTATGTGTTATATAAAGTTTCATTATAAGCTTTTTATCAATAGAATCATATGTGATTTATAACTATTATAGGGAAACTTTCGTATGCAAATTATACCACGATAACATCTTATCTTTTGAAATAAGAAATGATTTATGTATTTATGTAAATCAAACACTCTGTTTATACTACGAGTATATGTGTCTAGTTTTAGGCACTACAAAAATTATACTTTTCATGACCAGTGAGCATTTCAATAGGGATTACTATACAAACGAATCGCACTTTTAGAAAACTATAATAGGTATAGTTTTACGAGAACACTACGAACTTTTACATACTGAAAATATTATTTCAAGAAGTTACTTTCATATACAAGAACAAACGAACGTTTTCACACGTAAATCTGTTTTATACTAAGTTCTGTGAGACATTAAACTTCACGTACGCTCGAGTACGCATTTCAAGTCCTGTATTATATACCAGAATCCCTTGGAGGGGGAGCATGGTGTTTGTGTATAGATCTATACGGGATTGACAACCCCGCACCCTGACTGTTAGCTACATTACACCATTTGGGGTGACAAACATCAGAACATTCCAACGCCTGAAGAACGTTGTGTATAGACATTTCTAGTTAATAGCATGGTTATAAAACTCACATGGAGTATTAAAAACACATTGATTTACGAGGTTTTTCAGATGTATTGGAGGTTTTATACGTACATAAATTAACTACTTTAGGCATGAAAAACCTAATTGTGATACAAGTTTGGAACTTCTAAACCACTACTCACAGATGGGAAAAACATCAACTTTCTAACAAACGTTGGTCTTGATTTAAGGCTACATTTATACCAGTAGGAAATATGAGATTTTCTAGAAGCTAACAAACAAAAGCAAACCATTTCATTTTAGTTCATACAAATACTATCATTTAATACTTATGAAACTCACCAGCTTAAATGCTTATCTATTCTTTCAAAACTACTTGTATGTCCCAAGGACTCAGTAATTGCAGGTACCAAACAGCTTTTTGAAGAAGGAATGTTGCGGTGCCAGTTTAAATTCATATCTTTGGCATCATATTGTAATTGGTTTTGAACATGTACTCTTTTAACAATGTAAACTTTCAATTATATATATGATGGTTTTATTGCTTTCTTTACTATGTAGTCATTTGTTACGTTACCACATGAAGTCATCCGCCCCCGAATGTTTCCGCCGTTCCGGTTTGGGGGTGTGACATCAATTATATACAAATGCCACAAAAACATACGCCAATTCCCTTCTTGAATCTCATGGGAAATATCTTCTCTAAGATCAAAGTGAAAATATACGGACTAGAGCTAAACCCTAGTGTAGCCCAATTTTCAGCGAGAAAGACTATGTATCTCTTAGCAGTGTTCGTAAATAGGTAATCCAACCCGAGAAATAAACTCATACACCGTCTCCAAACTCACAAACACTATACGTAGATCCCTATGTCTCTCTATATGTTTCTTTATAAAGCGTTTGCTCAATCGTTGATCTCCCTAACATAAAGCCGAATTTATTTTTTTGATATCGCTTTAACATGTCGCAACCTCGCCTCTAGCATACTCTCCCATAGTTTATTTGTTTGGCTAAATAGCTTAATACCACTATATTTGTCTTAGTTTGGACATCCTCTTTGCTATTATGTTTTGGAATCATAATACTAGATCTCTACTCATCATGACATTAAGGTTTTTTTTTTTTTTTTTTTGTTGTTGTTAATATTCTATAATTCATATTGCTATGATTTCATTAAGCTGAGAAGAAGATTGAATGAGGGTCTTGGATATTTTTAGGGAGATGTCTATTGGAATATAATCTAGAATTAGGAGTTAAGGGTTTAGGACATCCTTAATGTATCGAACTCTATAGAGTTCAATGGATTGTCATATCATTTTTTTACATTCCATATATCTCTATCAATTTTTTTCCACAATGCCTTGAGCTCTACTAAATTCAATAGAAAATTATAAAAGCTAATTTATAGTATATATTTAAGACTAGAAAACTTTCCTTTTTCATATTGAATAGTTTAATGGTCATAGAACTCCAAATCCATTGAATGCTTATGTAGCATCTCACTATGGTAGAGTTTCATATATTAAATGATAACTAAACTTGCCACATGATTCAACCCTCCCATTAAACTCACAATTATGGATGCTCTTAGGCAGTCAAAGATTGAATCATTGTCAGTAAAGGTTGCAATGTTAGGAATAAAAGTGATGATGGTTTGAATTGTATTTAGAGCATCTACAATGATGAGTTTAATAGAATAGTTGAATGGGGTGACAAGTCTATGTGTCATTCAATTGATGAAACTCTACTATTGTGAAATGTCACATTGACATTTAATGGGTTTGAAGTTCAACGACCATTGAACTCTTCAATGAAAAAAAATATTTTAAATTTTAAATGTTTATTATTAATTACATTTGGTAACATTCTATTAAACTTTGTAGAGTTCAATGTATTGTAGAGAATAAATAAATAAATAAATAATAGAGTTGTATGTATTATAGAAAGATGATGTGACAATCCATTGAACTCTATGAAATTCAATTAATTGTGGATGCAGTTATATGTTTGCATCTAACCTTGTAACTTAATATTCTTAAAAGGCTTTAATAAAATTCTGGTTTTGGTGTCATAAAATTCTCCTCCTCTCGCCTACGTGTAAAAGCAAGATCTTTTTTGCACTATTGTGACGTTGATTTAATCCCAACAATATCACCAAGATCTAATTATGTTAAAAAAAGTACTTTATACAACTAAACTCAAAATACCAACCATCATAAACATTAATCTGAATGTGTACATTATGAACCCATAGCACAAATAACAGTACCCGATAATATTGAAGTCTCATCAAGGAAAGAGAGAAAGTTAACATGGATCAGGATAATATAACTAAAAAGAGTCCCTCAGGTTGCAGCCGAACTTTCATCGCAATGTGTAGCTAAACCAAGCTTAACAGGCTTGCACCCATACTAGCAACGAACTGGGCATTCTGTCTCGACATTTCCATTTGCAACTGAAGCCTCTGGAGCTGCATTTGGGTATCAAGAATACTGTCTACAACACATTCTTCACAATCCACACAACCCAAATGCGTACCATAATCACATGATTCACAGTAGTAAGTCCAACGATCCTTTTGGACATCCACATGACAAACATCACACGTGAATGTGTACTCGTCACCTTTCACTGGACATGAGTAATACAGTTTAAGCAAGTGCTCATGATCGCTCCTTGTCACTGTTTCAGGCAAGCTTACACACTGGATGTGTAGATCAAATTTACAAATAGAACAGTGATAGGTAAAGCCTGTACCATCGCTAAAACATGCATTGCAAGTAAATTCACCATTTTCATTGTTGTAAGGTGCTAATGGGAGGAGAGTTAGAGGGTGTTCCGGGTGTGACTTGTGTTGGATCCGTTGTTTCAGTTGAAAGCATGATTCATGAAGATGAAAGTTGCAATTTGGTTCAGCACATGAATAGCCCTTTCCATTTACAGTTTCTTCACATCCTGAACATTCAATCTCATTATCTTCATCTTGTAAGTTGACCATACGTAAACTGTGAGGGTGACTGTAGTGCATGATTCCTTTATGATTCGGTTGGTTTTGACCAGATTCAATATGATTTTCAGGTTGACAATAAGGAGAAGCATTAGGAGCAGAAACCGAAGAAGCAACGTTTTGAGCCATGTTAAATTTTTGTTCACTAGGTATAGGATTCAGATTATTGGTAGGAATAGAAACAGAAGAGACATCCACGGGAGGATATTGTGGACTAGTTACTGGATTCTGATAACTAGTGGGAATGGAAACAGAAGGTTCATTTTGAGGCTTTGAAGAATCTCCTGTGCTATTAACCTGATTCGCAGGACTAGCGGGAATAGAAACAGAAGGTCTAGGTTGAACAGTGGAAGGATATTGAGTATTTGTGACAGACTCCTGAGAGCTAGTGGAAATGGAAACAGAAGGTCCGGTTTGAGCCATGGAAGGATATTGGGCACTAATAACAGGATCCTGAGAACTAGTGGGAATGGTAACAGAAGGTCCCGTTTGAGCTATGGAAGGATATTGGGTATTGATAACAGGATCTTGAGAACTAGTGGGAATGGAAACAGAAGGTCCAGTTTGAGCCATGGAAGGATATTGGGCACTGATAACAGGATCCTTAACGGGGATGGAAACAGAAGGTCCAGCTTCAGCCATGGAAGGATACTGGGAACTAGTAATAATGGAAACTGTATGCCCATTTTGACCTGTAGAATGATATTGTCCGCTAATATTAATAGGGTTAGGAATAGAAACATAATGCGGATTGGGATCTGTGTAATGATTCTGAGAAGCAGTGAGTTGAAGTTGTTGAAGATTATCGGGAACAGAAACAAAGGGGGCATTGTGAGCCGTGTTTGGTGGAACTAGTTCTTGGTGATGATGATCGTAATAATTTGTAGGGTATTGATGAGCTTTTTGGAAGCTGGTAGCTCTTGAAATGGAATAAGCGCATTGAACATGAAGGTCGAACTCACAATGAGCACAGGAGTAAGATAAGCCACTTCCGATGATTTCACAGGAATTGCAGTAGAAGGAATTAGAAGGATAAGTAGGGTAAGGAACCAAGGTGAGAGGATGAGGAGGGTGTGATGGGTGTTTCAAAGATCGTGTTGCCCTGTAGCATTGCTCGTGTAGGAAGAAGTTGCATTGCCAGCAAATGTACACAGTGCCGTCGCCGGAAGAGTTGCAACCGGAGCAGGAGACATCGACACCTTCAGGCAGTTGGTGCATGATGAGGTTGTGCGAGTGGCTGAAATGCTTGTACCCGTGCTGCTCCATCTTTTTCTTTTTTCTTTCTCCCTCCACGTCCTTGTGGGTGCGATGGAGAAGAAACTATATAAAGATAGTTTAATAGAAGTTGTGGTGCAAGTGGCCATGGAATTAGTCAGATTATGCCAGCTTTTTCCTAGTAGATCGATATTCTCCTTGTCTAGAAGTTGACTATATATTATTATTATTATTATTATTTGGTGAGCGACGACCGATATTATGAAAGTACACCTGATCAAACGAGACCGGGTAAGTCTGGTTTCTGATTATGTTACGGTATCAAGTTTTAGTCAACGTGGAATTTTATGGCTATTGCAATAACTATCTTTTATTTTTTGGGATTCCACCCTTATGACTCTTTTTTTTTTTTTTTTTTTTTTTTTTAAATATTATTATTATTATTATTATTTTCAATAACCGTATAACATTCGAACAACATTTTGAAATTCGGATTAAGCTTTAAAACTCGGACGATATTATAAATTTGGACGACATACTAAAATTCGAATGACTATATAAAACGAAGCAAAAAGAAAGTTTTTCTTTATTTATCACAGATATATATTAATTGGTTATGTATTACATTTTCATGGTGCGTTATGCGGATTGAAAACATTTAGTCGAGCAATTGTATACTAATGCTACCGAATGTTCTGATTTGTATGTACTGAGAAGTCTGGATAAAACATCATGCATTGGATATGCTCATTGTAAATTAAGTATTACATGATGGTTAGGATGAATTACAATTTATCAATAAACGCTAATGATATCGGTTTGTTTCTACAGTAAAGAAAATTTTTACTTTTGTTCCATTTTATATAGTGGTTCGAATTTTATAATATCGTCCGAATTAAAAGATTAATTAGATTGATTGATTAGATTGATGTTAGGGGGGTAAAATTAATTAAAAGAAGCATTTATAGTACAACCCTCCATTATTCATAGGCTCATTGTATGTCAATATATTATTACACCTAAAAGTTGTCAACTCACCATCCTAGTCATATATCTTAAATGCTTATAAAACTTGCATTTTCCCTTGATTGTCATGCATTTGAAACCCCCCACAATAATTTGCTAAAACCTCATGCATTTGAAACCCCTAAATCTTTTCACCTTCTTAATAATTAATCACACATAATCAATAGTAATTCATATGAGATAATAATTTTGCTAAAACCTCATGCATTTGTATAGTATTAGAACATGTTTGAGTTTTTGGGTTTTAGACTTTAGTAAACGGGTAATTCGTTTGATACGTTGGATTTGAAGCTATCTTATTCGAATTACTCAAAACAAGAGATAAATTAATAATATATGCTCATGTATGTTTTGTACAAGCCCCAATCAAAATACAATATATCATGATCATACAATTAAGTGTCTTTTATTCCATTTTTGGCTTTATAACAAAAGTTTGTTTCCGTGGCGAAGAAAGAAAACTTGAAAATGAATATTTAGGTTGGATGTTTATATAAGATTTGTTTTAAATATATAATATAGATATAAATACACAAATGTGTATCAAATACAACCCATCACAAATTTAATGTTATAAACTATAATAAAACTCAAAGTGGTTTTCCAAATATAATGTTTATACTATAATATAATATATTAGAAGAATATCATATAGTAGACGAATCTCACATGTTGTGCAGAAATTTAGTTGTATAGATAATATATTATAATTATATTTCATTTAAAATATGTTAGGGTCATTTGGTTATTACATTGTTGTATTAGGCACTATAGTCAAATATATTTTGAATGACTCTTACAAAAATAATGTCTGTAATTTGAATATAACGTAATATCTTATGATGTTTATTGAATGATAATATCTTCGATTGAGTACTTTTTAATTGGAATCAACTTTATTATAGTTCAAAATTTTTGCTCAGTTTTTTCTTTCCATTAGTTCTAGAATACGATTTTTTATATTAACTTAAAATATGTCACTATCTTAAAATAGATTGAGAATGGGATTTTTTATATTTACTTAAAATACGGCACCATTTTCTATTCAATAATAAAACTAGCAAAAGTCGTTAAATATGTATTTTTATGAGGTTCAACATAAATAGACGACCACAAATGAGAATCCATATCTAATCAATCATCAACTAATTACATTAGATACTAATGTGTACATAAAAATTACATTTAAAATTTTAAACTAATAGTAAAAAAATTTCATTGTTTATTATGATAAAAAAAATCTGTAAATCAAAAATATACATGTTATTTAATCGCATACAAGTTTTATGTATGATTTATTCACAATACATTAAACCATATATAACTATATTAAACTATATAATTATCCCACTGCGCAACACGTGGGCATTCGTCTAGTAATATTATAAAACCAAGTGTGAAAATAGACAACAACAAATAACTTGTTATAACATTCTTTTTTTTCTAGTTCTTATATATATATATATATATATATATATATATATATATATATATATATATATATATATATATATATATATATATATATATATATATATAGGAAAGGGTTATATGGAAAATAAAAAACGCTAAAAATTATAAAAATACATAAAAAATACCTAGGCATCACAAATTTCTTTTTGACATTACACATAAATAAATCGCAACTAAAATTTCGTTGAAAAACAAATAAAAAATCTTTTTCTTTTTTATAAAAAAAAATTTCAAATTTTTTTCAACGATTTTGTGACAAAAGGTGTCATTTTAAAAAAAAAAAAAATTCAAAAGTTTTGTAATCTCTAAGTATATTTTTTTATGCATTTTGATGTTTTTTATTTTCCATAGAACCTCTATATATATATATATATATATATATATATATATATATATATATATATATATATATATATATATATATATATATATATATATATATATATATATATGATTTTTGAAGTTTGTATTTTTCCGATTTGTTTTATTTATTGTTTTTTTATTTATGTCACAATATTTGTAAAAACCATATAAATTAATAACACATGTAATTTAATTAAATCCTAAATTAAACATAACATTAAAAATTAAAAATGACATTACAAAAAAAAACAATGAACTGAAAAATACGATAGTCCTTAATTAAAAAAATATAAAAATCCTAGACCAACCATTTCTTCTTGATCTGCTCCATCTTTCGGAGCACTTGCGTTTGTCTCCATTCCATATTTTCCTCGCTAACTGCCAACAATTGTCAAATCCTTTGTCAAGCGATCTTGCTCGGCTTCTTGACGAAGGAACTTCAAATGCTCACGTTGCAATTCATATCTTTTATTTGCGAGTGCAGTATGGGCGTCGAATTTTGCTTTCATTTTCGTGTGCTCTCAAAGCCTACTTCACTTTCATTCGCATGTCATTGAGAGCTTCGCATTGTCGTGCCCTATCAGTCGTCGTGGAGGGGAGATTTCTTCGATGTCCTTGAGGGCGTCCGATAGCTCATTGGTGTCAGCGTTGAGGTCGATGTTCGTGCGTTTTTTGGAATTGTCAACCGAACCCGAACCACCAGACCTCTTTGATTGTTGCTTCGATGATGTTGGAATTTAAATCCATTTTTGGGTCTGGCCTCATAATCTCCCAAATTTTTTCGTGCTCGAAAACGTGACCCATTGGTACGTGATATTCCCCCCTCGCGGCTCTAAAAACATCGAAATCATTCATACCACATTGCTTGTGCGAAGAAAGTTTGTTGCAGATGGAATTGAACTTGGTGCATTTCCAACTTATTTTAGTCACCTTGCTACTAAGCATATCGTGATTGCGGTATGTGTCGCCTTCTTTAAAATGGTGCGAAATTTGCCGATCACAACTTCCCAATAAGCAACTCTGCTCATATCGTTTCCCGAAGTTGGGTTTTTTGATGTCCCGCACCACGACACTACCAACGCATTCTCTTCCTCTGGTGTTGACCATGTTGAAGGTTCTTCCGTTTGCTCCACCTCGATTGTCACACCCCCGAACCGGACGGCGCAAACGTCCGAGGGCTCTTGTGACTTAAATTGAATACCATCACAATGATTATACATGAATCATAACATCATTCATCACCATGCATTGAAATATTACAACTGATATTGTTTACATTCAGTACATTGTTTAAACGTTACAATTCCATAACATAGACTGTCTAATAGATAGTATAAGCAAAACATCATGACATGACTTGGTACTTATTCTCCGGCTTACCTGTTACCTGACAATACAAGTTATTTTGAAAACGGTCAACATATGAAATGTTGGTGAGTTCATAAGTAATGTTATGGAAAGTTGATTTTTGTGAAGATTGCAAACCCAGAAAATCCGATATTTTCTGAAAGGAGTATTTGTTAAAAAAAAAGTGTGAAGATCCGTAAATATGCTTGTCGATTTTGAAAACATGTATAATTGTTGAACTTTGTATACATCACATAGGTTAAAATGTTGAACTTCCAGGGAAAACCCGATGTTTTCCCAATACGTAAATCACATGACTTGTTTATTGTTATACCGATACGACGATTGTTTTTTATTACCCAGGTGACATTGGATTAATTAAGGTTTGTGAGTTGTTACAATCACGCATTAATGAAAATAACTAGTTTATAACTACAAATTACGAACGATCCTTATGGCGTCGTCCGTACTACTCACATAATCCAACCACCCTGACTTCTATTGATTAACGACACAAATCTGATTACTTGAATTCTCATAAGCCGGTCAACCGAGGAGAAAGGAGGGTGCGAAGCCCCCTTTATTTCCATAGGTTATTCAAGGCTATCGGGAATACGAAAAGCACTTGGCCCGACTTGCATTTGACTTCTCGACCTCACTAGCAGTACTAATGGGCCATTAGGACCCAATAGGACAATAGAGCTATTGAAAGTCCTTTTACATGAAACTAGGTCATAGAAGGTCCATTAACATGTAAGCGCGTTCCCTTCGGGCCCAAAGATCATGTTATTGGGCTAGCAAGGCCCAACAAGCACGATTTGAAACTTTCAAGCCCAAAGATT